TGGGACATTTTTAAATCTAGGCCCCAAACCACATAAGACCTTTTTAAGTAGTTGTCTTTGAAAGAGCGAATGAGAAGACGTCCTCCTTGCCAAGGCCCTACAGCAGCCTTTATCAACCTTGGTTCTGTGGAACCCTAGGATTCCTTCCAAGGTTGCTAGAGGTTCCTTGAGCAATCACCAGTGGGGAATTTCCTGCGTACACTAGCCAGAAACCTATGGGGCAATTCTCCAGTGATCACCAATACCAGCAAGTTAGCAGCTTACTCACTAGAAGTCTCGGAACTGCTCAGAACATTATTTTTAATCTGGGCCTCCGACTAAACAAGACATTCCTACATGCAAGCAGTTGCCTTCTAAAGAGTGAACAATAAGAGTGTCCTCTCTCCAAGACCCCTCAAAAGCCTTTATCAACCATGAGTCTATGGAACATTAGGGTTCCTACCAAGGTTGCCTTGAGCAATCAGCAGTGCTAGGGGGGACCAATCAACCATGGTTCCATGGAACATTAGGGTTCCTTCCGAGGTTGCCTTGAGCAATCACCAGTGCTAGGGGGGACCAATCAACCATGGTTCCATGGAACATTAGGGTTCCTTCCGAGGTTGCCTTGAGCAATCACCAGTGCTAGGGGGGACCAATCAACCATGGAACATTAGGGTTCCTTCCGAGGTTGCCTTGAGCAATCACCAGTACTAGGGGGGACCAATCAACCATGGATCCATGGAACATTAGGGTTCTTTCCAAGGTTGCCTTGAGCAATCAGCAGTGCTAGGGGGACCAATCATCCATGGTTCCATGGAACATTAGGGTTCCTTCTGAGGTTGCCTTGAGCAATTGCCAATGCTAGGGTGCAATTTTCCATGAATATGAGGGATCACTTCTACCCTGACCACTAATGTTAGGAGTGAACAATAAGAGTGTCCTCTCTCCAAGGCCCCTCAGAAGCCTTTATCAACCATGAGTCCATGGAACATTAGGGTTCCTACCAAGGTTGCCTTGAGCAATCAGCAGTACTAGGGGGGACCAATCAACCATGGATCCATGGAACATTAGGGCTCCTTCCGAGGTTGCCTTGAGCAATCACCAGTGCTAGGGGGGACCAATCAACCATGGTTCCATGGAACATTAGGGTTCCTACCAAGGTTGCCTTGAGCAATCAGCAGTGCTAGGGGGGACCAAAATCAACCATGGTTCCATGGAACATTAGGGTTCCTTCCGAGGTTGCCTTGAGCAATCACCAGTGCTAGGGGGGACCAATCAACCATGGTTCCATGGAACATTAGGGTTCCTTCCAAGGTCGCCTTGAGCAATCACCAGTGCTAGGGGGGACCAATCAACCATAGTTCCATGGAACATTAGGGTTTCTCCCAAGGTTGCCTTGAGCAATCACCAGTGCTAGGGGGACCAATTATCCATGGTTCCATGGAACATTAGGGTTTCTCCCAAGGTTGCCTTGAGCAATCACCAGTGCTAGGGGGACCAATCAACCATGGTTCCATGGAACATTAGGGTTCCTTCCGAGGTTGCCTTATGCAATCACCAGTGCTAGGGGGGACCAACCATGGTTCCATGGAACATTAGGGTTCCTTCTGAGGTTGCCTTGAGCAATCACCAGTGCTAGGGGGGGACCAATCAACCATGGTTCCATGGAACATTAGGGTTCCTTCCAAGGTTGCCTTGAGCAATCAGCAGTGCTAGGGGGGACCAATCAACCATGGTTCCATGGAACATTAGGGTTCCTTCCGAGGTTGCCTTGAGCAATCACCAGTGCTAGGGGGGACCAATCATCTATGGTTCCATGGAACATTAGGGTTCCTCCCAAGGTTGCCTTGAGCAATCGCCAATGCTAGGGGGCAATTTTCCACGAATATGAGGGATCACTTCTACCCTGACCACTAATGTTAGGGTACTCTGCAAATTTTTTTACCATTCTGTAATTTATTTCCATTACCGAATTATTACTGAAGTAATTTTGTTGTGTAGAGCAGGGAGGAGTGGTCCTAAAATACGCCAGTACGCCACTTTCTTCACTCTTTTTTTTTTTTTTTTTTATCTAAAGCTACTTCTAAAACTTGCTCATCACACTAGGAGTTGCAGGTATAATTATTTTCAGCAGGAGTTCCTCAAGACCTGAAAATAATTTTAAGGGTTCCTCCAGGATAAAATGGTTGAGAAAGGCTGCCCTACTGAGCTGTATAGATAAATTGTCTAAGAAACAAGAGGGAAAACAACAGCCCCGTAGCCGGGGGAGAATTGACACCTCATCTGCATTTTCTGAAACCTTTTAGGTCTGTATTGCTCCTATATTTGTGGAAGGGTCTTCACTCATACGGTGTATGAGGGGTCGTGGTTTGCTCTGAAAGTCCAGGTCTGCTGAATGCTGAACATTCACGGTGGGGGCTGGGATGGGCGCCCCTTGTCCCGCTACTGTATCAGCGCATCATATTAAAAAATGACATCTGCACATGGGGGGGGGGGGGGCATTTTCTGCCTTGTTTAACTTGGGAACCGCAATATGTGGATCTCTTCTAAGTCCAATCAGTTGACAAAATTTGCCAATCTAATGCACAGTTAATGATATTGACATGCGTGTGTGTGTGTGTGTATGTATTATATATATATATATATATATATATATATATATATATATATATATATATATATATATATATATATATATATATATTTATACTAATATATAAATATATATTTATTTATTTTTAAATATTTTTATATATATATATATATATATATATATATATAAAATTAAATATATAATTAAAAAAATAAATAAAATATATATATATATATATATATATATATATATATATATATATATATATATATATACAGTGAAGGAAATGCGTATTTTTGCTCCCCTGCTGATGCTGAATGTTCGCCCCTCACACAGAAACGATCGGTCTAACAATGGAATGTTCGCCCCTCACACAGAAACGATTGGTCTAACAATGGAATGTTCGCCCCTCACACAGAAACGATCGGTCTAACAATGGAATGTTCGGTGTAACACTGAGAGACAGAATACAACAACACATTCAGCAGAAATGCGTCTAACAAATGATGACGGATCTGCATGTTCATGAGGGAAAGAAGGATTTGATCCCCTATCATTCAGCAGGATTTCTGGCTCCCAGGTGTCTTTCATACAGGTAACAAGCTTAGATTAGAAGCAGTCTCTTAAAGGGAGTGCTGCTAATCTCATTGTGTTACCTGTATAAAAGACACCTGTCCACAGGAGCAATCAAACCATCAGATTCCAAACCCTCCACCATGGCAAAGACCAAAGAGCTGTCCAAGGATGTCAGGGACAAGATGGTAGACCTAGACAAGGCTGGACTGGGCTACCAAACTATGGCCAAGCAGCTTGGTGAGAAGGTGACAACAGTTGGTGCAATCATTCACAAATGGAAGAAACACAAAACAAGTGTCAGTCTCCCTAGGTCTGGTGCACCATGCAAGATCTCCCCTCGTGGGGTGTCAATGATCATGAGAACAGTGAGGAATCATCCCAGAACTACACGTGAGGATCTTGTCAATGATCTCCAGGCAGCTGGGACCACAGTCACCAAGAAAACAATTGGTAACACACTACGCCGACAAGGACTGAAATCCTGCAGTGCCCGCAAGGTCCCTCTGCTCAAGAAAGCACATGTCCAGGCCTGTCTGAAGTCTGCCACTGAACATCTGAATGATGCAGAGGAGGACTGGTGGGAAGTGTTGTGGTCAGATGAGACCAAAATCCAGCTTTTTGGCATCAACTCAACTCGCCGTGTATGGAGGAGGAGGAATGCTGCCTATGACCCCAAGAACACCATCCCAACTGTGAAACATGGTGGTGGAAACATTCTGCTTTGGGGGTGTTTTTTCTGCTAAGGGGACAGGACAACTGCACCGCATCAAAGGGACGATGGATGGGGCAATGTACCATCAAATCTTGGGTGAGAACCTTCTTCTCTCAGCCAGGGCATTGAAAATGGGTGGTGGATGGGTGTTCCAGCATGACAATGACCCAAAACACACGGCCAAGGCAACAAAGGAGCGGCTCAAGAAGAAGCACATTAAGGTCCTGGAGTGGCCTAGACAGTCTCCAGACCTTCATCCGATTGAAAATCTGTGGAGGAAGCTGAACGTTCGAGTTGCCAAACGTCAGCCACCAAACCTTAATGACTTGGAGAGGATCTGCCAAGAGGAGTCGGCCAAAATCCCTCCTGAGATGTGTGCGAACCTGGGGGCCAACTCCAGGAAACATCTGACCTCTGTGATTGCCAGCAAGTACTAAGTCATGTTTTGTGAAGGGGATCCAATGCTTCTTTCCCTCATGAACATGCAGATCAGTCATCATTTGTTAGACGCATTTCTGCTGAATTTGTTGTTGTATTCTGTCTCTCAGGGTTACAATACACCGAACATTCGGGGGGAGGGACCTTCACTGACACATCACAACCCATACATTTTGGGGGGGACCTTCGCTGTCACATCACAACCCATACATTTTGGGGGGGACCTTCGCTGTCACATCTCACCCATACATTTTGGGGGGGACCTTCGCTGGCACATCACACCCATACATTTTGGGGGTGGGGGGTGCTGCTTGGTATCTTCCCCCTGGGCAGCAGATGACATTGTCCCAGAACAGAGTAGGCAGGCAAAGCTCAAGAGCTGGAAAATCTTTTCAGGTTCTTACATTTAGCCGGTAATTCACATCATCCAATCCTGGTCCGCCCTGAATGGGGAGGAGAAAATCGATTTCTTGGTGGGTCCCCTGTTTTATCCGCCCCCCTTTTACATGTTGGTGTCATCAGTCGTATCCCACCACAGACACTAACCCTCTGCCGTGTGTCCTGCAGATCCTACTGATCATAGCCAGCATGATCGCCATTATAGTATACCGGCTGGCGGTCTACGCGGCGTTCGCCAGCGTCATGGAAAACAACCACACGCTGGAGCCATTCAGCGGACTGCTCACCCCTCAGCTGGCGACCTCGGTGACCGCGTCCTGCCTGAACTTCATCATCATTATGATCCTCAACTTCCTATACGAGCGGGTGGCCATATGGATCACTGACATGGGTAAGTGTTCTGCTTCACCATTTTATGCATTGACATACTTTCTTTAGACCTGGGCCCATCCGACAAGTAGGGTCACCTGCTGAACAATCGTCCCCCACAGACAGCTTTACTCTCCAATGACACACACCACTTTAATCCAGGGTAGTTTTACTTTTTTAAATGTGGAACATGGGATGTTCACTGGTCATTGGACATATAAAGATTTCTAAGCTGGTAACTTGCTGTGGAAACATGAAGAAGGGAAAGGCGTGTCAAGACGAAACCAACTCACCCCAACATACAGGGACGCTGGATTTTACCATTTACAGACGTAAAATAACAAGTTGTAGTTACACGGAATTACCAGTAGATGTCACCACTGAGACATTTATACCTACATAATGAAATCCAATTGAACAAAAAAAAAGAGAACAAAAATCAAAAACTCAGTATAGAGACAAAGACTGAATATAATCAATACATTAGGAAATATAATGAAAAGTCTATATATCTCCTTTATATGCTGCCTGCATAAATCTGTCCACATATCTGCTGAAATCATACAAAAAGTGGGAGGGTTTTCATTGTGAGCCAATCTGTCTCTACTGCATTGCTCAGTGCTGTTGTCCTAAACTTGTTTCGGGCCCTGGGGGGGGCCGAGAGGTAGTTGTTTAGACCGTCTACATTGAGGGTTGAGCTCAGGTCGGATCCTGCCAGTATGTTCCTCATTCATAGCCCAGGCGGGAAGAACCTGCAGTAATGAAAAGCATGGCTTCCCCTCTGGCAGTGCAGGGTGGTGGTGAGGGGGGACGTGCGTTTAAACCAGCAGCTCCCCTAAAGAGCCTTCTGCATTCGGATCACTTTTCAGATGTGATTGACAGGCAGTGGGGAAGTGATGTGATACCTCCTCGCTGCCTGTTTTAGCCCCATTGTTGCCAGACAAATATGCCACATTGCATGCGGTTGTGGGGTGGTTGCAGCACTTCCCTAAATCTCTTTCTGTAGCACCCTCCTAGGTAGGTACTAGGTTTAATAGGTATTTTGATTGGTACATTTAGTTGCCACGCGTGCTCCCCTTTCCAGGAAATGCTGCTGCATCTGTTGTCATAGACCTCAGGTGGGTCCGGGGAGAGCGGATATAGTGAATGCGGGGTCCGGGGAGAGCGGCGGATATAGTGAATGCGGGGTCCGGGGAGAGCGGATATAGTGAATGCGGGGTCCGGGGGAGAGCGGATATAGTGAATGCTGGGTCCGGGGAGACCGGATATAGTGAATGCGGGGTCCGGGGAGAGCAGATATAGTGAATGCGGGGTCCGGGGAGAGCGGATATAGTGAATGCGGGGTCCGGGGAGAGCGGATATAGTGAATGCGGGGTCCGGGGAGAGCGGATATAGTAAATGCGGGGTCCGGGGAGAGCGGATATAGTGAATGCGGTGTCCGGGGAGAGCGGATATAGTGAATGCGGGGTCCGGGGAGAGCGGATATAGTGAATGCGGGGTCCGGGGAGAGCGGATAGAGTGAATGCGGGGTCCGGGGAGAGCGGATATAGTGAATGCGGGGTCCGGGGAGAGCGGATATAGTGAATGCGGGGTCCGGGGAGAGCGGATATAGTGAATGCGGGGTCCGGGGAGAGCGGATATAGTGAATGCGGTGTCCGGGTAGAGCGGATATAGTGAATGCGGGGTCCGGGGAGAGCGGATATAGTGAATGCGGGGTCCGGGGAGAGCGGATAGAGTGAATGCGGGGTCCGGGGAGAGCGGATATAGTGAATGCGGGGTCCGGGGAGAGCGGATATAGTGAATGCGGGGTCCGGGGAGAGCGGATATAGTGAATGCGGGGTCCGGGGAGAGCGGGATAGAGTGAATGCGGGGTCCGGGGAGAGCGGATAGAGTGAATGCGGGGTCCGGGGAGAGCGGATAGAGTGAATGCGGCGTCCGGGGAGAGCGGATAGAGTGAATGCGGGGTCCGGGAGAGAGCGGATAGAGTGAATGCGGGGTCCGGGGAGAGCGGATAGAGTGAATGCGGGGTCCAGAACGCACTGGAGCTGCAAACACTGATGTGATCTATGACACTGACAACAATATCACTTTCTCTGCGTTTTGGATGCAGAAAAAAGCAACTGAAACGCATGGAGTGTGAACTGGCCCGGAGTCCGGTGCAGCGCAGAGTTTGCTGATGTTCCGAGTTCAGGAATTTGTCACCAGAGACGACCTCCATCCACAAAGCGGCTTCAGACGAGTGAAGACATCGATCGCAGACTTGTGTGAAGGGTTAATAGCGGCGTGCTACATTTGATCTCTGGTTGAGAAGTAGTCGCACGCGGGTGTCAGAATCCGCAGGAGGAACAATCAGTCTGTTCTCAGACGGAACGCTCAAGGCTGCACAGCTGCTCCGGAATGACAGTCCAAACAAAGACCAAATCCAGTCCCTGATGGAGACAAACCCTTCACTTGTGTCTCACACATCACCATCACGGCACGGAACTCTCTGCATTCACGGCACAGGCAGTGTGCTGTGATTGGACAGTGAACTGCGCATGCGAAAGTGATGTCATCAGCTGGGGGACAACATCTAAATCTCCTAAACGGCGCAGCTTTAGAAGGTCTCAAAGATACTTTCAAGTAAGGGATTGTTCTTACGGGATGTTGGGGGGTGGTAAAACCCCATGTTTAAGCCACACTTCTACCCTTTTTAGTGGCCAGAGGTGTACACTTGCTGTGGCTGCGGCAGGAATTATACCCCCATCACTCGCAGCAGGTTTAGCGCCAACTGAACACATCTCATTCAAGCGAATGTCGCGCGCTAGTGCGAGGATCAAGGGATTAAAGCAGACGGTGAGGAGGCAATACAATGAGAGTGAAGCGGGGTGCGACCGAGCCCTCCGACATATCACAAGATTTATTATAGGGGAACGGTCATAAGTTTGGCCTAATATCGCTTTGATGCAGCAAATATCCAAATGCCTTCATGGGCAGTTGCCAGTCTGACTGTCAGATTGGAGAGGAAAGCGCTAGATGATGCTGGACGTCCTCCAGCCAGGAAATGAGGCGGAGCTCTGTCTGACTTGCTGCAGCTTCTAATGCACATTGTGAGAAGCTCCCAGTGTGCGGTGACATCAGAGGAAGACATTTCAGTCCAGGGGAGGAGCCGGTACACCCGTGCAAGACTGAAGGGGAGGAGCCGGTACACCTGTGCAAGACTGAAGGGGAGGAGCCGGTACACCTGTGCAAGACTGAAGGGGAGGAGGCGGTACACCTGTGGAAGACTGAAGGGGAGGGGCCGGGACACCTGTGCAAGACTGAAGGGGAGGAGCCGGTACACCTGTGCAAGACTGAAGGGGAGGAGCCGGTACACCTGTGCAAGACTGAAGGGGAGGAGGCGGTACACCTGTGGAAGACTGAAGGGGAGGGGCCAGGACACCTGTGCAAGACTGAAGGGGAGGAGCCGGTACACCTGTGCAAGACTGAAGGGGAGGAGCCGGTACACCTGTGCAAGACTGAAGGGGAGGAGCTGATACACCTGTGCAAGACTGAAGGGGAGGAGCCGGTACACCTGTGCAAGACTGAAGAGAAGGCCCGAGGTCAGTTCAGGAGACCCTGTCAGAACAATAAAGTACAGGACCTTTATACCCACAAGTTTTATATTTTTTATTGAAGGGTTTTGAGAGAGATTTTCGAGTCTTGGTATTTCGGAGTCTTGGCATCTCGGAGTCTTGGCATCTTCAGAGTCTTGGTATTTCGGAGTCTTGGCATCTTCGAGTCTTGATATTTTCGACTCTTGATAAATGCTTTCTGGGGCAGATGTTCCATGTACTTGCTAAGACTGAACAATGTGATTTGAGGCCGTACGTAGACTTGTCTTCTCCTGGACCATTACCATCACCAGCTAAAATGTTTCTTTTTTCCCGGCAGAAATCCCCAGGACACATCTGGAGTATGAGAACAGACTCACCATGAAAATGTTCCTCTTCCAGTTTGTCAATTACTATTCATCTTGTTTCTATGTGGCGTTCTTCAAGGGCAAGTTTGTGGGTTTCCCGGGAGGGTACACCTACATGTTCAACCAGTGGAGGAATGAGGAGGTGAGTGCTGCCATCTTGGGGACTGTTCCCCTCTGGGCCCCGTGTGGGTGAAAACAAACATCACGAGTATTGACTTCATTTTTCTTTTTACCCCCTTTAGTGTGACCCGGCCGGTTGTCTCATAGAGCTCACGACACAACTCACCATCGTGATGGCGGAAAGCAGATCTGGGGGAACATCCAAGAAGCTTTTGTTCCGTAAGTAAAAATATATTTTTTTTTAATGATTTTGTTGAAATATTTGATTAATCTTGAGACCTGACTTCCTTAATAATATTTAATAGAAGGATCTGTAGCCACTAGAGCAGTTCCAAACCTTAACAAGAGGGCCCAGGATATTGTTTCTGTAGAAGGTGGGATCTCGGGGGGGGCTGAGGGTTTTTCATGCGCATTGAGGGAGTGTAGAAGGCACTGTGGGATGTTTGGGAGCATTATGGGACACACGTGGAGGTTGGGAGTACATTGAGGGGCCAGAGGCTCGTCAGCAGGTTGGGGGCACCATGAGAGGTTAAGGACCACTGCATTACAGGAAAGTTGAGGACCACTGCACTAAGGAGAGGTTGAGGACCACTGCACTAGAGGGAGGATGAGGACCACTGCACTAGCGGGAGGATGAGGACCACTGTACTAGCGGGAGGATGAGGACCACTGCACTAGCGGGAGGATGAGGACCACTGCACTAGCGGGAGGATGAGGACCACTGCACTAGCGGGAGGATGAGGACCACTGCACTAGAGGTAGGTTGATGACCACTGCACTAGAGGGAGGTTGAGGACCACAGCACTAGAGGGAGGATGAGGACCACTGTACTAGAGGGAGGATGGGGACCACTGTACTAGAGGGAGGATCGGGACTATTGTACTAGAGGGAGGATGGGGACCACTGCGCTAGAGGGAGGATGGGGACCACTGCGCTAGCGGGAGGATGAGGACCACTGCGCTAGCGGGAGGATGAGGACCACTGCGCTAGCGGGAAGGATGAGGACCACTGCGCTAGCGGGAGGATGAGGACCACTGCGCTAGCGGGAGGATGAGGACCACTGCGCTAGCGGGAGGATGAGGACCACTGCGCTAGCGGGAGGATGAGGACCACTGCGCTAGCGGAAGGATGAGGACCACTGCGCTAGCGGGAAGGATGAGGACCACTGCGCTAGCGGGGAGGATGAGGACCACTGCGCTAGCGGGGAGGATGAGGACCACTGCGCTAGCGGGAAGGATGAGGACCACTGCGCTAGCGGGGAGGATGAGGACCACTGCGCTAGCGGGGAGGATGAGGACCACTGCGCTAGCGGGAAGGATGAGGGCCACTGCGCTAGCGGGAAGGATGAGGGCCACTGCGCTAGCGGGAAGGATAGGACCACTGCGCTAGCGGGAAGGATGAGGACCACTGCGCTAGAGGGAGGTTGAGGACCACTGCGCTAGCGGGAGGATGAGGACCACTGCGCTAGCGGGAAGGATGAGGACCACTGCGCTAGCGGGAAGGATGAGGACCACTGCGCTAGCGGGAAGGATGAGGACCACTGCGCTAGAGGAAGGATGAGGACCACTGCGCTAGCGGGAAGGATGAGGACCACTGCGCTAGAGGGAGGTTGAGGACCACTGCAGAGATTAGAGCTGGAGTTGAGCTTTATAACATCTGCACACATTTCTGCTCATCCTTTACATTGTCAGCGTTTCGTAGTTCAGATCTGCCTGGACGCCGCGTGTATTAGGGTGTGACACCCGCAAGGAATTCAGGGGAATCGCAGAATTCTACAGATGCATTTATCAGCCAGGAGATGTGAGCTCTGACATGGCCGTTGCTGGTCACTATAGTGCTGTCGGGGGATAGCAGGAGCAAGAAATACGTTTTGTATTGACAGACTTGCTGTATTTCCCAGGATCAGTTACGTTTGATGGACCAATAGGAAAAGCTTTATTATTTGTTATTTCACCCTGTTAAAACCCCTTTAAGATTTTTGTGCAAGATTGGTGCTCTGTAACCCTTCCCTACGTTACAGGTGGATCTGGAACTGGTGGGGGCGCCGGAGAGCCAGGAACAGCCCAGAGAACCTGTACAGCCGCTGGGAGCAGGACTACGACCTGCAGATCTTCGGACAGTTGGGACTTTTCTATGAGTACCTGGAAATGGGTGAGAGAGATACTTGTCTGCACTGTGTGAAGGGGTCAGGCTTATTAAATTGCTCAGATCACCCCAGATCAGATCCCCAGACCCCAGATGTCAGATCAGCCCCAAGGCATGCACCCCAGATGTCAGATCAGCCCCAAGGCATGCACCCCAGATGTCAGATCAGCCCCAAGGCATGCACTCCAGTCCTCAGATCAGTCCCAGGCATGCCCCAGATGTCAGATCAGCCCCAAGGCATGCACCCCAAGTCATCAGCCCCAAGGCATGCACTCCAGACCTCAGATCACCCCCAAGGCATGCACCCTAGTCCTCAGATCAGCCCCAAACCCTGTACCTGTAGGAACATAGGGTACAAGTGTAAGCGTATGGGCAGGTAGGTGGGTGGGACAGACTTTGTAATTGACATCCTAGTGAGCTAATGATTACAGCCAATGGAAACAGGTGCCAGCATAGTTAGCATTGTGTGTCCGGAGGTTGCCGACGCCCAAACCTGTATACACTGATCAAAAAAATGAAAGGAAGACTTTGTAATCCAAGTCGCATCAAGTCCATGAACCTCCTGGGATATGGATCTGGTCAGGTAAGTTAGCAGAGGGGGTTGTTCATCAGTTTTGGCTGCTTTGGTGTTAATTGAATTAACAACAGGTGCACTAGATGGGCAACAATGAGACTACCCCCAAAACAGGAATGGTTTTACAGATGGTGGCCACTGACATTTTTTTCCCTACTCATCTTTTTGACTGTTTTTCACTAGTTTTGCATTTGGCTAGGGCAGTGTTTCTCAACTCCAGTCCTCATGGACCCCCAACAGGTCATGTTTTCAGGATTTCCATTATTTTGCACAGGTGATTTGATCAGTTTCACTGCCTTAGTAATTACCACAGCTGTTTCATCTGAGGGAAATCCTGAAAACATGACCTGTTGGGGGTCCATGAGGACTGGAGTTGAGAAACACTGGGCTAGGGTCAGTGTCACTGCTGGTAGCATGAGGCCATACCTGGACCCTACAGAGGTTGCACAGGCAGTCCAACACCTCCAGGATGGCACATCAATACATGTCATTGCCAGAAGGTTTGCTGTGTCTCCCAGCACAGTCTCAAGAGCATGGAGGAGATTCCAGGAGAAAAGAGCACGGAGGAGTTCCAGGAGACAGGAGCATGGAGGAGATTCCAGGAGACAAGAGCATGGAGGAGATTCCAGGAGACAGGAGCATGGAGGAGATTCCAGGAGACAGGAGCATGGAGAAGATTCCAGGAGACAAGAGCATGGAGGAGATTCCAGAAGACAGGCAGTTCCTCTAGGAGAGCTGGACAGGGCCGTAGAAGGTCCTTAACCCATCAGCAGGACCGGTATCTGCTCCTTTGTACAAGGAGGAACAGGATGAGCCCTGCCAGAGCCCTACAAAATGACCTCCAGAAGGCCACTGGTGGGAATGTCTCTGACCAAACAATCAGAAATAGACTTCATAAGGGTGGCCTGAGGGCCCGACGTCCTCTAGTGGGCCCTGTGCTCACTGCCCAGAACCATAGAGCTGGATTTGCATTTGTCATTAAACCCCAGAATTGGCAGGTCCACCACTGGCTCCCTGTGCTTTTCACAGATGAGCCCCCCCCCCCCCCCCCCCCCCCCCCCCCCCCGCAGGTTCACCCTGAGCACATGTGACAGACGTGAAAGGATCTGGAGAAGCCGTGGAGAACGTTCTGCTGCCTGTACCATGGTTCAGTATGACCGTTCTGGTGGTGGGTCAGTGATGGTCTGGGGGGCATCTCCGTGGAGGGACACACAGACCTCTACAGGCTAGACAATGGCACCCTGACTGCCATTAGGTATGGGGATGACATCCTTGGACCCATTGTCAGACCCTAAACTGGTGCAGTGGGTCCTGGGCTCCTCCTGGTGCAGTGGGTCCTGGGGCTCCTCCTGTGCAGTGGGTCCTGGGTTCAACAATGCCCGGCCTCATGTGGGGAGAGTATGCAGGCAGTTCCTGGAGGATGAAGGAATTGATACCATTGAATGGCCCCCACGCTCACCTGACCTAAATCCAATAGAACCCCTCTGGGATGTCATGTTTCGGTCCATCCTGACGCCGCCAGGTTGCACCTCAGACTGTCCAGGAGCTCAGTGATGCCCTGGTCCAGATCTGGGAGGAAATCCCCCAGGACACACCATCCGTGGTCTCATTAGGACCCTCCCCCGACGTTGTCAGGCATGCATACAAGCACGGGGGGCCACACAAACTACTGAGGGCCATTTCTGAGTTGCTGCAATGACATTTCACCAACATGGACTCATCCTGCTGCATCATTTCTTCACTTTGATTTTCGGGGTGTCTGTGAATTCAGTCCTCTGTAGGTCGATCATTTTCATCAAATGATGGGGCATCCTTACGTTCCTCACCCATCCCCCGTCCATGTCAGTATAGAGATCCAGCAGGAGATTGTCCCCATTGAGATCTGATGGGTTTTCAGAGTCTTCCTTTATTTTTTTGGACCCGTGTACCTGCAATAAGGCGGGGGGGGGGGGGGGGATTCGCAGCCGTTCCCACCAATGGTTTGGTATTCCTTCTCTTCTGAATCTTTGGAACTTCCAGTTGTGGGTCTCCTTGAGTGTAGAATGGTAGCCGGTACAGAGCGGTCATCTCCATGGAAAATGGCGGTGGCGGTGACTTCCTCTTTAGTAGGCGGGGCTTTCACGTGAATGTTTTTGATGGTTTTTTAGCGGCGGCCTCGCCTGACCTTCTTCTTTCCTTCTAGTAATCCAGTTTGGCTTCATCACCCTCTTCGTGGCGTCTTTCCCGCTGGCCCCTGTTCTCGCCCTTCTGAACAACATCCTGGAGATCCGCGTGGACGCCTGGAAGCTCACCACGCAGTTCAGACGACCATTTGCGGCGAAGGCGCACAGCATCGGAGTGTGGCAGGAAATCCTCAACTCAATGGCCATTCTGTCTGTGGTGACCAATGTAAGTCTGCCAAGAGCTACAATCTGCAGCACACACTCTAATAGCAACTGATCAGCAGATTACACATCTACAATCTGCAGCACACACTCTAATAGCAACTGCTCAGCAGATTTTATAGCTACAATCTGCAGCACCCATTCTTATAGCAACTGATCAGCAGATTGCACAATCTGCAGCATCCACTCTAATTGGTAGATTGCACAGCTACAATCTGCAGCACCCATTCTGATAGGAACTGATCAGCAGATTTTATAGCCTCAATCTGCAACAGCCACTCTAATATCAGCTGATCAGCAGTTTGCACTCTGTAGCTATAAAATCTGCTGAAATCGGTTTGCTATTAGAGTGCAAACTGCTGATCAGCTGATATTAGAGTGGCTGTTGCAGATTGAGGCTATAAAATCTGCTGATCAGTTCCTATCAGAATGGGTGCTGCAGATTGTAGCTGTGCAATCTACCAATTAGAGTGGATGCTGCAGATTGTGCAATCTGCTGATCAGTTGCTATAAGAATGGGTGCTGCAGATTGTAGCTATAAAATCTGCTGATCAGTTGATATTAGAGTGGGTGCTGCAGATTGTAGCTATAAAATCTGCTGATCAGTTGATATTAGAGTGGGTGCTGCAGATTGTAGCTATAAAATCTGCTGATCAGTTGCAATTAAGAGTGTGTGCTGCAGTTGCAGATTGTAGCTATAAAGTCTGCTGAGAGTGTGTGCTATTAATCTGCAGCAATCTGCAGCCACTCTAATAGCAACTGATCAGCAGATTTTATAGGTATAATCTGCAGCACCCACTCTAATAGCAACCGATCAGCAGATTGCACAGCTACAATCTGCAGCACCCACTCTAATAGCAACTGATCAGCAGATTTTATAGCTACAATCTGCAGCATCCACTCTAATATCAACTGATTGGTAGATTGCGCAGCTACAATCTGCAGCACACAATGGCCAGCAGAGATGCATCTTGGGATGCTGGGGATGTGTCCTTGCGTAAAAAGATTATAGAAACAGTGGTGTCTTAACCGCCAGCCATTGAAGTCAGGAGGAGCATCAAAGGGTTATTATGGAGATGAAAATTTACAGGGAACTGAGAGTAATCAGTTGTGAGTTTCTCCCAACGTGTATTAGAAACTGCTCAGATAGAGCCCGCCTCACCTCCTGGCTGGAAGACAACCAATGTCATCTAGTTCTTTTCTCTGCAGCCTGACTCTTCCCGGCCCGTACTATTTCATTGAATGGATTTCAAGTCTTTCGATCAGAGAGGCTCCGTAGCATATGTGGGTGTTACCTATGCAAATACAGCCTGCTTAGGAACGCCCACTTATCCAGACTGGGACCCACCCATCATGGCATTTTGATATTTGCATAACTCCTCCCAAGAGTCAGCCCACTGCTTGCATCAGTATGTAGGGCTCTGGAGAGGAGTATTATCTTAGTTTGTGGAACCTGAAACTCATCCCTAACAAAGAGGCTGCGGGAGATCAGCAGCACTGAAATTCAACAAATAAACCAAAAAAAAGGCAAAAACAAGGATCTTATTTTGAGAAATGATAATTGTTGATGGAAGAAAGTCCTGATCAAAAAAGCATAGGAGGGGTTCTATTTATAAACCATTTATTGCACAAATGGTAGAAACATTCATGCAACCTGGACCCTATGTCTCCGAATACATTAACTCCTGTATCATTGGCTCCATCTACTGGCCAAAATGCGGTAGTTTTTCTGAAATACCGCAGTGACCAAATATACCAAAATTTAGCCACTAGGGTGGAGCTAATGATACAGGAATCCATCGAAATGGTTGAAGTTTGTTCAGTTTGCACCAACGTTTCTGCCATCCAAACAACGAATGTTTTGCAGAGCGCCAAATGTCATCCAGTATAGGGTTTACATGAAGTGACATTTTTTTTTTTTTTTAATCCTTTATTTAATGACGTCTTTCTTCCCCTAGGCTTTTATCGTGGCCGCCCACCTCCGACATGATCCACCACGCATCCTGGTCTACTACTACGCCTATTCCGAGAATGAGGGGGTCTCCATGTCCGGCTACATCAGCAGTAGCCTGTCTGTGTTCAATGTCTCTGACTTTATGGAGAAAAGCATGCCGCTGGAAAACCTGATGAATGTCACCCAATGCAGGTGGGATTTCCGAGACGTCACCCTTCGTCTCTTACTAGAAAATTCATTGTTTGTTAACCCCTTCATGTCCGGACACATCCCCCCCCCCCCCCCCTTCATGTCCAACACCCCCCAAGGATCTTTGTTTGAGAATGTCCGTTGACAGAAAGTCCCCCCTCCCCCCCCTTCATGTTTACACACACCCCCCCCCCTTCATGTCCGGACACTCCCCCCCCCCCCCCCCCTTCATGTCCACATACACATTAAACCCCCCCTCTTCATTGGTCTCCCCCCCATGTCCTGGCACATATGGCTCACACTCCCTCCCCCCCTTCATGTCCGGACATATACCCTCCCTCCCCCCCTTCATGTCCGGACACTCCATCCCCCCCTTCAGTTTGTCCGGAGTTTGCACCAACGTGTCCTGCCCCAAACCCCCTTCATGTCCGAACAAATCCCTCCCCCCTTCATGGTTTACATTCCGGACACACTCCCTTTTTTTTTCATGTCCGGACACATCCTACCCCTTATATCGTCCCTTCATGTCCGACATGATCCCCGCCTGGTCACTCCTCCCCCCCTTCATGTCCGGACACCCTCCCCCCCCCCCATGTCCGGACACTCCCTCCCCCCCCTTCATGTCCGGACACTCCCCCCCCCCTTCATGTCCCCTGACACTCCCCCAATGCAGGTCATGTCCACACTCACCCCCCCCTTCATGTCCGGACACTCCCCCCCCCACCCCCCCTTCATGTCCGGACACTCCCCGCCACCCCCCCCCCCCGCACCCCCCCCTTCCATGTCCAGACACTTTCCCCCCCTTCCATGTCCGGACACTTTCCCCCCCCCTTCCGGTCCGGACACTTCCCCCCCCCTTCCGGTCCGGACACTTTCACCCCCTTCCGGTCCGGACACTTTCACCCCCCCTTCCGGTCCGGACACTTTCCCCCCCCTTTCCAGTCCGGACACTTCCCCCCCCCCTTCCAGTCCGGACACTTTCCCCCCCCTTCCAGTCCGGACAGACTTTCCCCCCCCTTCCAGTCCGGACACTTTCCCCCCCTTCCAGTCCGGACACTTTCCCCCCCCTTCCAGTCCGGACACTTTCCCCCCCCTTCCAGTCCGGACACTTTCCCCCCCCTTCCAGTCCGGACACTTTCCCCCCCCTTCCAGTCCGGACACTTTCCCCCCCCCTTCCAGTCCAGACACTTTCCCCCCCCTTCCAGTCCAGACACTTTCCCCCCCCTTCCAGTCCAGACACTTTCCCCCCCCTTCCAGTCCAGACACTTTCCCCCCCCCCTTCCAGTCCGGACACATTCCCCCCCCCTTCCAGTCCAGACACTTCCCCCCCCTTCCAGTCCGGACACTTTCCCCCCCCCTTCCAGTCCAGACACTTTCCCCCCCCTTCCAGTCCAGACACTTTCCCCCCCCCCCTTCCAGTCCAGACACTTTCCCCCCCCTTCCAGTCCAGACACTTTCACCCCGCTTCCACTCCGGACACTTTCACCCCCTTCCACTCCGGACACTTTCCCCCCCCTTCCAGTCCGGACACTTTCCCCCCCCCCCTTCCAGTCCGGACACTTTCCCCCCCCTCCAGTCCGGACACTTTTCCCCCCCTTCCACTCCGGACACTTTCCCCCCTTCCACTCCGGACACTTTCCCCCCCTTCCACTCCGGACACTTTCCCCCCCTTCCGGTCCGGACACTTTCCCCCCCCTTCCGGTCCGGACACTTTCCCCCCCTTCCAGTCCGGACACTTTCCCCCCCCTTCCAGTCCGGATATATATATATATATATATATATATATATATATATTTATATATATATTTTTTTTTTTTTTTTTTTTTTTATTATAATTTTTTTTTTTACTGACTTTCTGTCCCTGTGACACCCAGACAGTGTGAACACCGGGGACAGGGGAGAACAGACGGCAATGAAGACATTAGGTCTGTGATGGGAGAGATCTCACATCACTTCCTGTTTTGGGCAAATCTCTCCCATAGGAACACAGATGGCAAAAAAACTACCAAAATCAATTCGAGATTTTTTCTTTTTTTTTTTTTTCCTTTTGCCGGCCAGGTACCGAGATTATCGCTATCCTCCGGAACACGAGAAGAGATATCTGCACACCATGCAGTTCTGGCACATCCTGGCTGCCAAAATGGCCTTCATCATCATTATGGAGGTAAGTGTGCCTGCCATATCGCCATCGTGCCGCCATCTTGGGAGCGCTGGAGGAGCTGGTCAACCCGGGCTGAATAAGCTTATTTCAAGAAAAAAAAAACAGAAGGGGGTTAATACAGGCCATACACGGGTCGAATTCCGAACAAATTTTCTTTAGAAAATCGTAAATTTTGTGCGCTTTATAACCCGATGGCGCCACCATTGATTTTGAAATTCCTTTAATTTTATTTCTCGCACGATTCTCCAATCATTAATTAGAAATTCGTTTGTTTTTTCAAAACATTTCCAACATGCCCGATCACTCAAAATTCGTCCGTTGCTGTGGCCCACTAATGGTGCAAAATTCAAACGAAAATTCTTAGAAAAGATTCTTTCGAAGTTCGACCCGTGCGTGGCCGGCTTTAATCTGGGAAATCAGTTTGAAGGGCAGAAGAATGTGTAGAATGACAGATTGTGAAAAATAGAAATGAAAAAAGGAAAAACGTTTTACTCCACTTGAGGATTTACAACGTAATAAAAAAACTTTACTAAGGTTTCTTAGGACACATCTTGTGCATCCGACTCCCCGAGACCGACGCCTGTCCCCGAGACCGACGCCTGTCCCCGAGACCGACGCCTGTCCCCGAGACCGACGCCTGTCCCCGAGACCGACGCCTGTCCCCGAGACCGACGCCTGTCCCCGAGACCGACGCCTGTCCCCCCCCAGACCGACGCCTGTCCCCCCAGACCGACGCCTGCCCCCCCAGACCGTCTCCTGTCGCCCCAGACCGACTCCTGTCCCCCCCCCCAGACCGACTCCTGTCCCCCCCCCCCCCAGACCGACTCCCCCCCCCCCCCCCCCAGACCGACTCCTGTCCCCCCCCAGACCGACTCCTGTCCCCCCCCCAGACCGACTCCTGTCCCCCCCCAGACCGACTCCTGTCCCCCCCCAGACCGACTCCTGTCCCCCCAGACCATCTCCTGTCCACGAGACCAGCGCCTGTCCCCCAGACCATCTGCGGAGTCCAATGCAGAGCCCAATAAAAGTCCCCCAGACCATCTCCTGTCCCCCCCAGACCATCTCCTGTCCCCCCAGACCATCCCCTGTCCCCCGAGACCAGCGCCTGTCCCCCGAGACCAGCGCCTGTCCCCCGAGACCAGCGCCTGTCCCCCCAGACCAGCGCCTGTCCCCCGAGACCATCTCCTGTCCCCCAGACCGACTCCTGTCCCCCCCAGACCAGCGCCTGTCCCCCGAGTCCAGCGCCTGTCCCCCAGACCATCTCCTGTCCCCCCCACACCAGCGCCTGTCCCCCAGACCATCTGCGATTCCAATGCAGAGCCCAATAAAAGCCCCCCAGACCGACTCCTGTCCCCCCAGACCGACTCCTGTCCCCCCAGACCAGCGCCTGTCCCCCGAGTCCAGCGCCTGTCCCCCAGACCATCTCCTGTCCCCCACACCAGCGCCTGTCCCCCAGACCATCTGCGGATTCCAATGCAGAGCCCAATAAAAGCCCCCCAGACCGACTTCTGTCCCCCCAGACCGACTTCTGTCCCTCCAGACCAACTCCTGTCCCCGAGACCATCTCCTGTCCCCCAGACCATCTGCGGAGCCTGATGAAAAAAAGTCCAATGTGGAGCCCAATGAAAACACTCCTGTGATCCGCTTCCAGCTCGTGGCGGCTATCCAAGTGTTAGAATCCAACTCTAGACACAGAAGGGAAGCAGGAGAAGGGAAGCAGAAGAAGGGAAGCGCCATCTAAGGGCAGCAAATCAACCATTTCTATTAAGCTGGTAAATTGGCATCTCGCCTGTCACCACCTGAACGTCGCCATATTTACACGCGAGGTGCCAATTTACGAGCTTAATAGAAATGGTTGATTTGCTGCCCTTAGATGGCGCTTCCCTTCTTCTGCTTCCCTTGTATCCTTGTTCTGGTGACAACTTCTAGATCTCCATCACTTTTAGTTCAAGTGAGAGAAGTCACCAGAACAAAGAGGGATCGATCGTTCCACAAAACCGAATATGGATTGGAACTCTTAATTGTTGTTTTTTTGTTTTGTTTTTTTTTTTTGTGTTTTTTTTTTTTATGGCATGAGTTCCATGTTAGGTTGAAGTAGCCGTCTCCATAATGAATGTTCCTGTGTGTCCTGCTTGCAGCACGTGGTGTTCGTGGTCAAGTTCTTCGTGGCTTGGCTGATTCCCGACGTCCCGTCCGACGTGAAGGCCAGAGTCAAGCGTGAGAAGTACCTGACGCAGAGGATCCTCCACGAATACGAGCTGAGCAGGCTGCAGGAGAAGTTCCGCGAGAAGAACAACTGTGCCGAGGTGGACAAGGAGGTCATCGCCACCAAGGGGAAAGTCCAGCTCTCGGAGGCCATGTAGCATCGGCCAACCCACCTTCCAGAACACGTGACACTTTCCAGGCCACGAGCTACGACTTCAATTCGATGTCTCGTTGGACGTTGCGCTGAAAACCAAACGCTCTACGGAAATTTTTTTTTGGAGATATTTTGAGGAGTTGAAGTCCTCCGTCACAGCCGCTCTTGCGTATGGTGGTCACCAAAAAAAAAAAAACATGCCACCTGCCTTCAGGATTACGGGGCCCTCAAAGGGCCACAAAAGCATCAACGTAACGTTCTTCAACAAACAGCCAAACCTTGAGTATCAAAGCAGAACTCCAGTTTGATCGATTTTCAAGGGGTGGGCGGGGCATAATGATGCAGCCATCCGTCTTCATTACTGGCCAAAACAGCACAAAGGCCACTCCCACAACAGCTTGAACCACACAGACTTCTGGCACGTGTAGTCACCGAGTCACCATTGCTCCTTGCCCACCACCATACCACAGAAAGGAGAAGAATGATATTGGAGTGGCCACCACTTGACCACTTTATTACATTCCTAAAAATAAAAAAAAAATAAAAAAAATTAAAAATTATTCAGAAATTTAAGAAAATTAGGAATTTTATTATTTTATTGCCCGGAGTTCTGCCTTAAATTTTCTAATTTTGAGGAATCCCTACAATTGTGGAGCCTATAAATCGATTCTGAGCCATACACCTTTTTCCTTTGCACTCTACAATCCTCTTGTAGGCCTTTTGACCGTCTACGGGGTTTAAATTTGGCGAAACCTTCTGGTCTTGGAAAATTCTAAAGGTAGCCAACTACGTGACTTATTACCATGGGGTATAATATTTTTAAATCAGCTGTGCACTATATAAAACATTTTTTTTTTTTTTTTTTACCATTGGAATTTTTTTTAATACCACAGACTTTTTTCTTAGTTGCAGCCATTTTAAAAAATATTTTTTAGATCAGTAAGTCAAAAAATGTGATAGACATAAATAGAACTACATGTTTTAAGTACATTTGGAATTTTTGTAATACAATTTAAACAGCTAGTTGTAAAATTTTGTAAGCATTGCACATTTATTTAAGTCTCCTTAAGAATAAATGCAAAATTAGTGATTAAAATTTTTTTTTTTTTGAACAGTTGGGTGTGAATTTTTAAGCAGTGAAGCTTTACTTTAAAAGGTTTCTTAAGAAAAAAAAATCAAAAATAGCCATGGCACCTCAAAAGTGATTTTTTTTCCATATCATGGGACTGTTTTTTTATTTTGTTTGTTTGTTTTTTTTTTTAGTTAAAATATAAAAAAAATTGATAGACACAAAAAAATAATTTTGTTTTAAGTACCTTTTGAATTTTAGTGAAGATAATTCATACAGTTAGTTTTTGAATTATAGGTGCAATGTTTACAAATTTAAAAGTCCCTTTAAAAATAAATGCTGAATTAGTCATTTAAAAAAAATGTACTGTTGGTTTTGAATTTTTAAGTAGTGCACCTTTATTTTAAAAAGTTACTTACAAAATACAAAATTAGCCACGGCACCCCCAAAAAGTATTATTTTTGGTTTTCGTACCATAGGACCACTTTTCTTTTTAGTTGTTAAAATATTTTTAAAAAATTAATTTGAAAATTTGATACACAAAAATACTTGTTTTAAGTACATTTGGACTTTTTTTGAAGAAAATTTAAACAGTTAATTGTTCTTTTTTTTTTTTTAGCATTGCACATTTATTTAAAAATAAATGCTCAATTAGTCATTTAAAAAACAATTGTAGTTTTGGTTTTAAATTTTAAGCGGTGTACCTTTATTTTTAAAAAGTTACTTACAAAATACAAAATTAGCCACGGCACCCCCAAAAGTATTATTTTTGGTTTTCGTACCATAGGACCACTTTTCTTTTTAGTTGTTAAAACAAGTATTTATGTGTATCAAATTTTCAAATAAAATATTTTAAAAAAAAAAAAAATTCATTTGAAAATTTGATACACAAAAATACTTGTTTTAACAACTAAAAAGAAAAGTGGTCCTATGGTACGAAAACCAAAAATAATACTTTTGGGGGTGCCGTGGCTAATTTTGTATTTTGTAAGTAACTTTTTAAAATAAAGGTACACTGCTTAAAATTTAAAACCAAAACTACAATTGTTTTTTAAATGACTAATTGAGCATTTATTTTTAAATGAATGTGCAATGCTAAAAAAAAAAAGAACAATTAACTGTTTAAATTTTCTTAAGAAAAAGTCCAAATGTACTTAAAACAAGTATTTTTGTGTATCAAATTTTCAAATGAATTTTTTAAAAATATTTTAAGTACATTTGGACTTTTTCTGAAGAAAATTTAAACAGTTAATTGTTCTTTTTTTTTTTTTAGCATTGCGCGTTTATTTAAAAATAAATGCTCAATTATTCATTTAAAAAACAATTGTACTTTTGGTTTTAAATTTTAAGCAGTGTACCTTTATTTTAAAAAGTTCCTTAAAAATACAAAATTAGCCATTAAATCCCCAAAAGTGTTATTTTTTTGTTTTTCATACCATGGGACTATTTTGTTTTGAGTTGGAGCTATTCCTATAATACTTTTAGATTGGCAAATCAAAAATTTGATGGGCATAAAAATAAATCTGTTTAAGTACATTTTGTATTTGGATTACATAGTTAATAGCTGAAAAAAGACAAAAGTCCATCCAGTTCAACCATTAAAAAAAAAAAAAAGTTATAATCCTCCACCCACAGTTGATCCAGCGGAAGGATTACATTTGGATTTTTTAAAAGAAAAATTTAACAGCTATTTTTTAAATTTTTAAGATTTGCATCTTTATTTCAAAGTCTCCTAAAAAATAAATGCAAATTGTATTTTTAAAGGGACATGAAAACAAATCTGTTTAAGTACATTTGGAATTGTTGTAAAGCAAATGTAAAAATTTAAACAAATTTTAAGCATTGCATCTTTATTTAAAAGTCCCTTTAAAAATAATTGTGAAACATAGTAATTTAGTAAAAAAAAAAAACCTACAGTTGGTTGTGAATTTTTTTTTTTTTTTTTTTAAAAAGTGCACCTTTATTTTTAAACAGACATCAATAATCTATTGAAGTAACTTTGTTTTTTTTTTTTTTTTTTTTTTTTTTTTTTAAAGAAAATGTGAACAGTTAATATTTTTTTTTAGGCATTGCACCTTTTTATTTTAAAAAATAAATTAAAAATTCCTTTAAAGAAAAAAAAAAAAATCACTAAATTAGTCACGGCACCTCAAAAGCATTTTTTTTTTTCTTTCAAGGGGTTGAAGTTTTGTGACCATTGCAAGCGCTATAATTTTTTTGCGGCATCGTTAGATCTAAAGGACTAAAACTCTAAATATTGAATGAAAGCCAACTGACATTTCCTGAAGGGCGGTTATTGACAAGAAAAAAAACCTCAAAGCCATCATTTTTTTTTTTTTTCTGTGTGTTTGTGTCACCTCTATGCAGGAAGTCATCATCTACAGATCTTGATTTCCTGCGGACGCCATTGACAGCAAATGTGGTTATTGTTCAGGAAATCGTATGGCTTCAGCAGTTCGATAGCTTTTTTTTTTTTTTTTTTTTTTTTTTTTTTTCATCCAGGGCTACCTCGCGGAAGTGCTTTATGTTCCAGTGAGAGCATTTTATGAAGAATTTCACAGCAGTGACTGGTTTTTTTTTTGCATGAATAAATCTATGTAAAGAAGAAGCTAAATTTATTCCTATTTAAAGTGATGTTTTTGAAATTTTTTTTAAATGTCCAATGCCAAGACCCTTCTGTGTTATGTGCCTTGTTTTTTGTTGTTGTTTTTTGCATTTGCTGTTTTGTAAACCTGTATAAATGCCATGAACCTGTAAGTTTGTATTAGGATACCTGTCAGTACATTTTAGCCTTAAAAGAAAAAAAAACCTGCAAGGAAATATGAAGCACTCTTTAAAAAAAAAAAAAAAAAAAAAAATTAATATATATATATATATATATATATATATATATATATATATATATATATATATATATATATATATATATATATAAAAATATCATTTTTGCACCAGACTACATATACGTCCTATTTAATTTTCAGTATGTGTAATGTTATAATATCTGTAATCTGTTGTAACTCTTTCACCACAAAAAATATACAATGCAATAAAAAAAAATTTGCAAGGAAATATGAAGCAAAAAAAAAAAAAAAAAAAAAAAAAAATATATATATATATATATATATATATATATATATGAAAAAAATCTGCATTAAAAAAAAAAAAATTGTATGTGTAATAAATAAATTTATATATATATATATATATATATATATATATATATATATATATATTACACATACACTTTTTTTTTTTTTTTTTTAATGCAAATTTTTTTCATTTATATATATATATATATATTTTTTTTTTTTTTTTTTTTTTTTTTTGCTTCATATTTCCTTGCAAAAAAAAGTGTATGTGTCATATATATATATATATATATATATATATATATATATTTTTTTTTTTTTTTTATATATATATATATATATATGAAAAAAAAAATTTGCATTAAAACAAAGTGTATGTGTATATATATATATATATATATATAATTATATATATATTTTTTTTTTTTTTTTGCACCAGACTACATATACTTCTTATTTAATCTTCAATAGCTGTAACATTATAATATCTGTAATCTGTTTTAACTCTTTCACTACAAAAATGTACAATGTAATATAAAAGAAAAAAACGCAAGAAAATCTGAACCCCCAAAAAATTTATATATATATATGTAAATATCATTTTTGCACCACGCTGCATATACTTTTTAATCTTGAATATCTGTAACATTATAATATCTGTAATCTGTTTAACTCTTTCACCACAAAAAAAAAATGTACAATGTAATGTACAAAAAAAAAGAAAAAAAAATTTGGGCATTAAAAAAAAAAAAAAATTGGTGCTCAAAAAAAAAAAAAAAAATATATGTTCCATTGTCTAACCCAAGCCAAACAAATCCATCTCCTGGTCTCTTCTGCTGTTCC